GCAAAAGTTGGACCGATTTTGCCCAGCAAGAACTATACTTTACGGATGTGGCTCATTGTAGGGCATTGGACCAGTGGGAATTCTTCGGCTAAAAGGAGCAAGTTTACGTCAGTTGAATGTTTAGGTCTCCAGAGGCCAGCGCAAAGGGATATCGCTTTCTTTTAAATGAGCCAGAGATATTACTAACATGAAAACTAAACGGGAAAGACACTGGGAAAAATATTATGTGAACTAAATTCTTGGCAAAATTCATTTTAACATAACATAATATGTGAACCTAACTCCTAAGAAATTTTAAATTAAATGAATATCCTATTAAAAGTATACACAAAAAATATCAAAGAGATCTGATAGATATAAAGATTTTGTGAAACTCATTCTAAAAATTGATTGTTATTTAATCATACTGCTCAATTGATTAGCTCAGCTATGCATAGTTTTTGACATGGCTTTGAACTCACTGACTAATGCAGGCCTTCTATAAACTTTCTATGCAATTTTTGAAGTTTAATGAGAAACTAGAGGAGCAACTGCCGCTGCGACAACAACAACAACCATCAACGACGACAGCAGCGACGACAGTTTACACTGATGCTCGTTAGTTCTACGCCAAAAACTTTGCCTTTGCCGTTGCCTTTGCCCATCGCTTGAAAATGCTCACCCTACTTTGCCTCCGGATTTTCCCCTTTTTCTCGATTTCTGGGCAACTGCAATTCACAAATTTCTGTATGGCCATGGGAAATGGGAAAAGGACTATCAAAGCTGGTCTGCAGCAGCTTTGTTGGATTTGTTGTCCTGCCATGTCCATGTCGGAGCCGTTCTCGTTCACTTGATTTATGTCCAATGCGTCTGGCAAATGTTTTGGGACATCCCGATCCCGATCCCGATCCAGATCCACTCCCACAAATCCCTCGACTGCAGCCCCTCGCTCTTGGCTTTAATTAAAAAACTAAAATGGATGAGTGGCCGGGTAATTTGTCTAGATTGAAGCTCTCAAAAGCAATTTGATTACTACTGGTAGTAACAAGCTATAAATTATGGCTCTAAAATAAATTAGAGAAAAAAATAAACGAAGTAGTTGAAAAATTACACGATTTACTTTCTTACTTTTCCAGCAATTCAAAGAAAAAACTAAAAAGTGGTACATTTATTGTAAGGAATATAATTATTCGGTACTAGAATGGTACCCGAAATTAATGAAAATTTAATGCTTCAGCATACATCTCATTGTATTCCATTTCCATTTCCATTTTTTTTGGCTAGGGTCTAAATTTTTGTTTTTAACATTTTTCTAAGCTTGCCATTAATACAATTTTAAATTATAAGGTCTAAGGCACAGCTACAAGTTGTAGGAAAATAAAGTATAAATAAAATGAATATATTTAATCCCAGAAATTATATTTATATTTAAGTTTATTTTAATGTCAATTTAGATGCTTCTCAGTCAATTAATTTCAATCAATCATCTCCGGCTTATTCTTAAAATAACTTTTACCCCTGAAAAGAGAACTTGTAGTGTTTTCTCAATAGCCAATAATGCGGAAGCTTCTTTGAATATGTAGGTTATTGATGCTTATAAATAAAAGCAACCAGACAAGTTAAAGGCACATTTTTGTGTCTCGAATGTTCACCCATAAAGTAGCCTTATAAAAATAACTCACGGATGCTTTCAATAGGACAGGAGAACAGAACAAGGGGACACATTGCAAGCTATGCATGCCAGACATGGCACACATTCTTTCACCCAGACAGGACGAACAAAAGAAAGCCGAAAGGTTGAGGGAAGCAACTGGAGCTGGCTTAAGAAAATAGCTCATACGCAGCGTGTGCCGCATGCCACAAATGCCACAAATACTGCTTGAATAAAAGAGCAGGGCAGTAACAGAAAATATGTGCAAAGTCAGGGAAAAGTCCACCAGAGTCATGACTTCCTTTGGCAGCTGCCATGACTTGGCCATTTTCTGCCTATGCACTTGCTTATTTTCCAATTTACTATATACATTAAACATAGCTTTTCGAGAAAACAAAAAATATCAGGTTCAGCTAATTTCTATGGGAAATAATATTCGATAACCACATGCAGATCCCATATTTAATAATTCAAAACAAAGACTTCATTTAGTTCAGACAAAATGAAAGTCATTTGTGAAAAATCACTGATGTGTTGATGGCCAGGGATTTAATATTTATTTAGCTGGCGGGAATAGCACTTAAATTAAATATTCATCAGTCCTTGGCCAAATTTAATTCAAAAACATTTGGTTTCGGCAAAAAAAATATACACAACTGATATATTTATACAAATATATAAAGTATAAAAGTAATATATTCAACAATGAAAAAATGTAGAGATTATATTACCGTCAAAATATATAAACTAATTAGCCAAGCTAAACTGATCAAAAAATGAACAAATTTAAATAAATATCTGGTTATTGACTTCAAAATTTTATATTAAAATATAAAGCTTTAATATTAAATATAATTTACTTTAAATTTTATATGATATTGATATAAAATATTTGAATTAATGTGGAAAATATTGTATTTAAAATGGGTCCTATATATTTTGTATGCATTGGATTATGTTTAATTTGATTTTAATTTTAACTTAATATTATGGATCGTAAAATATAATTAAATTGAAGCTTTAAATATTGGAATTTAGTATGAAATACTTGAACTAACTACGATTTTTGTAAGTGTAATAATAAATAATTTTCGCGGTATTTATTTTCATGCGTACCTTCATATTGAATTTCAAGTCTTTAGCCTTGAATCTAATATATTGCCTTACATGATATCAGTCAATAATTTTCTCTAAATTTAATTGCACGCGTACCTACATATATAATTTCATTTCCTTAACCTTGAATCAAATATATTGCCTTACATATTGCATATTAGAGGTCTGCAGCTTCCTATTACCTGTTCGATTCATAACAATATTCAGATGAAGTATTAAATGAATATTTAATGTGAGTTCCTCGAAACGCATTTGAAGGCCGCAGATCAAAGAAAACACACATGAGGCAGGCAAAATCCTTAAGCAGGCGGCCGCATTGCGACCCTGGGGCAAATGCTGAGCAGTGAGCACTTAATTTGAATATGCGCACCTGATGTCAGCTACCTACCTTCAATTCTGCCTTCTGTTGATTGAGTTTACCTGGTTGGGAGCCAGTTTCAGTCCCGTCCCGTCAAACTTCCTTCAATCGAATGTTGGCTGGAAGGGAGCGTCGAAGATGACGATGATGTCGGTGCGGTTTTTCGGCTTCGCGGCACTACAGCCTGCTAAATCCATTCGTCGATTGCTCCTCGAATGCAAACGATATTTGAAGGCAAATGAAGTGGGAAGTGTGAGCACAACGTGGTGCTCCTCCTGCAGTACTGGCTGAAACCACAAATTGCAATTAGCGTCAGCATTTCACCCCATTGACCTCGACTGGAGCTGCTGGCCCAGCATTTGATTGATGATGAACGCTAATTTTCGACCCTTTTTTGCGGGCTCGATCTCGAAATTTAGCAACCAAATATGCATTTGCAAGGGGTCTCATGCTACGTGGCATTAGTCAAATGATCGATGAGGGCCAAAAGAGAAAGTTATCAAAATTATAGTTTTCCAATACAAAATGGGTCAATGGACAGCCTTTAAAAAAAAATATCTTTAAAATTCTTTTAAAGCCCGTTGCTTTTTTGAAATTAACGTCGCTTAAGTTCTTATATTAATTAATTGTAAATTGGTTTTTATTCATCGTTATCAAGCCATATTAAAGTCATTAAATTATTACGGTTGTGGTTTTTGAAATAAAAAATAAAATATTTAATAATATAAGCATTTTCCGATAATTTATGTTTTTGTTAACTAATAAAAGAATTGTTTGAAATCAATGCAATGTATTTTAAAGATAATACTCTTAAAATGTAAGAATTAAGATTAACATAAGGAAAACTTGCAGCATAAAAATGAAAGTAAAATCTGCGTGTGTGAGTGTGAAAAAGGGGTCTGAATGTCCTGCCCATACTGTGTTTGTTTGGATATGTGCGTGACCATATTCGCGGTTGTTTGTCTGTGTGTGTGAGTGCAATAAAGCAGCTCGTAAATTTCTCCTGCAGTTGACCCATCTCTCTGTCTTGCTCTTGTGTCCTTTTGCCATCTCTTTCCCTCATACTATTGTATACACTTTCTTAGTAACATTTTTTTTTTATTCGCTCTTTTTTTCGCGCTTCTCGTTTTTGCTATTGTATTTTTTTGCTGCTTTTATATGTGTTTCGGGTGTTCTGCTTCGCTTCTTTGGTAATAACGCAAATCCCTTTGTTGGCCCACGCCCCCAAACTACGCCCCTGGTTCGTCCTGCCCGCATCCTTTTTCGAACAATAGCTGTGAAATAATCACTTGCCTGTTTGCACTTTATTAAGTGGACAGCGGCGCGAAAGAGACAGCTCGCTCCGGGCGAAAGAGATGGCTGCACTAGATTTACTGACCACCCAACTTTAAGTCGCGCTTTATTGTCGGGCTTACGGAACGAAGTGAATTAATGCGGGAAGCGATAGTGCTTTTATTTTTAACCCTTTGCTTAACACATTTATTGCTGGGATGCAGTTAAAGAACAGTAGTTATCTTTATGAATTGGAGTAAAAGTGCCGCGAGTCAGAGAAATTGTGTAATACAGTACCATAAATTTAATTTTTTTGTTTTAAAATTGCTTTTTTGATTTCCCAACCGAAATTTACCATCCACAAATAGTCTTATTATTGGAAATAAATTTTCTTTTTTCTTTTCAGTGCAGTGCATAACAGTTTTTATTATTTATTAACAACAAAGTTTGCATAGTTCTACATTATTTCATGCGCGCTACTTAATTGGTTTTATTTTTCTACTACTGACAATTATGCTTGAGAGCTTAATATTTGCATAGTTCTATTAAAAACATTCCGATTGTCGAATCGAAATATTAACACCAAGTGTGTTTGACAATTAACTTTCTTTTTTTTTCCAAATCTTATTGAAACTTCTCGGCCAGATTGAATTGCTTTATAAGGGTAACCACAGAAAAAGCCAACTTCATCATCTTTAAAAAATCAATAAATCACATTACGTACTTCAGTGAATGTACATCAAACTCACAGCTAAATTTGTATTCATACAAATAGGAAACACTCCGCCAGCCGTCAAAGTAATGGGGTTCTGAAGGTTTTGAAGAAAGTATACCAAAGTGGTCTTATAGCGACGGTCGGCGGACACCCAATTCGAATGGAATAGACAGTCGGCCAGGTCCTGGCAATCATCGATGATCACATTGCACAAATAGCAAAAGGGAAAGGTCTCCATAGACACATCAAACATAAAGAGACACGTGGCCAGTCCCGTCCAAAAGGTTGAGAAAAACATTAGGTTGATCATCGAGAGGCCCAAAACAGTACCGATTAGTAGGAACTGCACAAAAATTGTGCCCGAAAATACGGGTCGCAATGCGTTGACATAGCTAAGGGATTGGCAACTCTTATAATTTATTAAGGACAATTATGATATATTTTTTACAATTTCAAAGTGCTGAAATTATTTATTTTTGGAGACTCAATTTTACTTTCGACTTACTCCAATATCAAACGATGATCCTGGATGCATTTAGTCAGCTCCTCCAAGTACTCATCCTCAGTTTTTCCTGGCTCTGAGCGCAGATTTCTCAGCCGATCCTTAAGCAGGGTTATGTGACATCGAGCCATTAGCATCGAGATTAGGGGACACACATCCGTGCACAGATTCATGAAGATGCACTCCGCCATAAGGATACACTCCGCGATGCTGGAGAGCAGAAAATGCTGATCGGTGTTGATCAGGGGAAAGTACATACGCCAGGCGTGTCGTCCTTTCAGTAGAAAATACGGAAAGTTCATCAGCACAAAGCTGTAGTAGAAAATGTGATACACAACATAGACACGATTTCCCCAGGCCACACAGCGATGAGCAGTGGCCCTTTCCGCAGCTTGAACACATCTCTCGTCCAGCCGATTCAGTAGTCGCTTGGCCTCCTCCATTTTCCTGTAGCCAATCATGGTGAAAGCACACTTGAAGGAGTTGCCGAAGACGTCCACCCCAATCTCGAGCGAACTCAAGAACTCGCCCGCCGAGAAGCTCTTGAATCGCTGAACGTACTCGAAACCCATTGATAGCGGCAGAAAGATTAATATCAAACCTACCATAAAAGCGGCCCACAGATTGTACACAAGGCTCCACCTTTAAAAGTAGTAAAAAGTTATATATAAACTAGGGGGAGCCACAGATTTCACTGGGATTTTGTTGTTAGTTATAAAAGTATCTAAAAGTATGCAACCATATATTTGTTGTCTTGAAGTCTGTTTGGTCTACATCAAAAATCACCTTTATAGATTATATCAAACCCCCTTGTGGGTTATGTGGCACCCTGAATATGTTGTTTCAATTTAATTGTTTGTTTTTAAAATCAAATATAACTGATAAAATAATTTATATAAGGGGCTAAAATTATGCAACATACAATATGCAATATTTTGTCAGTGCGGAAGTCCAATAGATTTATTATGTTCTATATTTCCACTGCATACTTCTAGACAAACTATTTTTCTTTGAAACTTTCCTATTTGTCAACTTATACATATTTTTATCGCTTAATTTTCTTTTAATCGATAGATTTATTAAATTTTAAGAAACATTTTAAATAGATTTATCTATTAATGACAATTTACCTTTTATCAGCAGGCTTTGTCCAGCCGAAGGACCACACAGCCCAATCCAAGTAAATGAAGGCATCTCGAGATTGAGCCCGTTCACTCAATGGCTTTTCCTTAATGAAGGGAAATAGTTTACTTAACATCTTGTCCGTGGTTGCTTCTTGAATGTGAATTGAGTCCGGCGACAATCGCTTTTTATATGGCAAAAACTGTGTCATGGTAGTAGTTCATGACTTGACGGTTTTTGTTTTAGCTAAAACAGGTGCTTTTTATTTGTTAAAACTTTTCAAGGCTTGCAAAACTCACCATAAATAAATAAATGTCTTGCTAAATTCTGTTAAACTTTGTGTTTGCAAAATCTATGCTTAAGCCTTAAAAGTCAATTTTGTTTCACTCATAATTTTCAATACTTTAATTTTTTGCACAACTCAGTTGTCAATTAAATCCACCGCAATTTACTTTTCACCCGAATGCAATTATGAAATGCAGCATTCCAGAGCAACCATAATCCCTTTTCAATCGTTCAACGAGCACGACCTTAACACGTCATTAACCGAGTAAAACATTACCAAAATCGACATTAATTCACATGTATAGCTTCATTGTGCGATGCCGAACCAAAGTCGCCTGTTTCCCGCCCACTATCATTGCCTTTTCGCCTGTCACTGCGTTTTACTGCGTTGCCCATTGGCGGTGTTAATCAGCGTCACCGCGATGTCATGCAACCGAAAAATGATTGCCGCCAAACACATTATCTGTGTTATTAATGAGTTGCATGCCGCAGACAGCACTGCCCAAAAAGATAGTGTTTCAATTTTAAATTGTACTTTTTGTGGAATTTTTAGCACACTTTAAATTCTTCTTTAACCTACTGTGAGAAATATTTGTGGATAATATGCACAAATCAAATTAAAGCCAGAAAAAATGTATACTCCAAGAAACTATCTATAAACAAAATAAAAATGTTAAGAATAAACTGTTGGGCTTAACAAGTTCAGTTCTGAATTAAATTTCTACCAAAAAATATACTTCTTCAATTACACAAAAACTTTTTGAATAACACATTTTAAAATATTTAAAAGTTTCTGAGAGACATTCGGAAATTTGAACAAAAGTAGCTAAAATTAAAAAAATATTAAAATATAATTGTTTGGAATGTATTGCGAGTGATTGGCTGCGGGTTTCCCTCACCCAAATATTCTTCTTTAGCACTCTTTGCACAGCACATTCTCGTTATACTCGTTATATCCTTGCTTTTCGGGTGTTTAATTAATTGAAAGCATTTTTGCCAGCGCTTTGCGGCCGACTCTCATTTTGCATTTGCCGATTTCCCGAACAGCGTGAAGCGGCCACCGTAATAATATTGACTCATTGGCGTTGAGGACAGACGCACACAAAAGGACCTCCACACACATACACACAGCGGTAGACAAAAGGACCGCCACACACATGCAAATTAAATGCATTCGCAGAAGACAAACCATCAATGTGCCCTAGAATCTTTTGTCAGTTCAGTTCAGTTCTGTTAATTAACCGAAATATTTTACGTTTCTTTGTTGGCCGCCGATGAAGCGACGGATTTTTAAATTTTATCACATTCTGCATTGAGAAGCTTAACTGAGAGTTAAAGGCTTGGCCAAGTTTTCTTAATTAACCAATAAGTTGGATAGCTACAGGATTTCATATTTTTACTGAGTGCATTAACAACTTTTAATTGTGAAACTAACTATTTAATTGCCTTAAGCATTTTAATTAATCCTTATATTCCCGTTTCTCTTATTGGAACTTCTCAGCCAGATTGAATTGTTGTATAACAGTAACCACCGAGAATGCCAACTTCACCATCTTTAAATAAACACAGAATACAGAATTTAACTCTGCAGTTTATACGTATAGATCGAACCTACCGACAAATTGGTTCGCATGCAAATGGGAAACACTCCACCAGCAGTGAGAGTAATGGGCTGTTGAAGATTTTGAAGAAAGTATACCAAAGTGGACTTATAGCAACGGCTGGCGGTCAGCCAATTCGAATGGAATATGCAGTTGGAGAGGTCCTGGCAATCCAATATCATCAAATCGCACAGATAGCAGAGGGGAAAAGTCTCGCTGCAAACGTCCATCATGAAGAGAAATGTTCCCAGTCCGGTCCAAAATGTTGAGAAGAACATTATATTGATCATTGCGAGACCCAAAACCACTCCAATCAATAAGAACTGAACGAAAATAGTGCCCGAGAATACGGGTCGCACGGCGTTGATATAGCTTTGAAAATATATAAAAATATAATTTTAGATTTTATGCCGACACAATTAGCTTACTCCAATATGAAACGATGATCTTGAACGCATTGGGTCAGCTGCTGCAAGTACTCATCCTCGGTTTTTTCTGGATCAGATCGGAGGTTTCTCAACCGATCCTTAAGCAAAACGATGTGGCATCGAGCGAGCAGCATGTAGACCAAGGCACAGACGTCAGTGCACTGATCCATGGTCACCACAGTGATCATCAGTAGGAATTCCGCAATGCTGGTAGATAGGAAGTGATCCTCGGGCTTTAGCAGCGGGATATACATGCGCCACGCATGACGACCCTTCAGCAAGTAGCCCACAAAGTTAATGACCACAAAGCCCGAGTACATTACGTGGTACATAACGTAGAACAAATTGCCCAAGGCCACATAACGACGAACAGTGAGCTTCTCCTCATCGCAAACACAGCTCTCGTCCAGTTGATCCAGAATCCTTTTGGCCCTCTGGAGCTTCTTGTAACCGAGGAAGGTATAGGTGCACTTAAAGGAGGACCCATAGATATTAACGCCAATCTCAAGGGAACTGAGGAACTCATTCGCCGAGAAGCTCTTAAATCCGCGAACATATTCCACGACCATCGATATCGGCAGAAGGATTTGTATCAACAGGTTCGCAATAAGTTTCCAAATAGAGTAAACCAATGTCCACCTTTGAATAAAACACATTTTACTCAACTGACTGATTAATCAAGTGGCTTTTTTCACCTTTTATCTTCGGGTTGTGTCCAGCCAAAGGTCCACATAGCCCTATCCAAGTAGATAAAGGCATCTCGCGATTTTACCACTTCACTTAAGGGCTTTGCCTTGATGCGGGGAAACCATTTATTTATCATCTTGTCCGTGGCTGCTTCCGAATACAAGGTTAGTCCGGAAACGACTGCTTTTATAAGGCACAAGTCTGTTAAGGTTGTCTCACATGGTTTTTTTTTAAGTTTGCCTATATGGTAAAAAAAAACAGTTTATAATATGTAAAACATACTACCATATGGAATTTTTCCGGCATTACTTGTTAAACTTTTTTTAATTTTTCTTTTGCATGTTTTAAATTTATCTTCATACCCACAAATTTTGCTGAAAACTTGGTTATAATACTTAATCAGTCCAAATATAATACTTTGTTTTGAATAGTTTCAATGAGTACTTATTTCACACATACTTTATTCAGAACCTTCAACCTTTAAATTCCGAACTTTTTACTTACAAACCCTTATAAATATGTAGAATTATTGACCTGTCCACATTGACTATCCACAGTTGCTGAAAAAATTACCTTATTCATGCACAACGTTGCAATGGTTATCCAAATAATTGAATTACGCGTGCACAAAGGAAGTCTCATTAGTTATTGGTCATTGCGAGGTCTTCTAAATTTGGCATAAGCAAACCAAACCACTAAATATGGTATGCAAAGCCCCGAAATATTAAAATTATAAATAATATTCTCCAATTTAATTAGCTAGCTTCTCGGTGACAACATTTGCAGTTCAGTTTGTGGCTTTGACACTGGCGTAATTGAAATACTCGTTCTAATTAAATGGCCATATTTGTTGTTATAGATAACATGTTGGCCCAATTTACAAGCTCGTAATATAAAATGGCAATAATTTGACGACAGATTTGTGTTTTTTAGTGGAAGTGTAAATTTGAATGTTTATTGGGAAGATACCATTTTACTAAATAATGTCAATAAACAAAAACATGATCATTTTACCTTAACAAAATTGGTCCAAAATAAAACGCTGTCGAATTGGTACAGTTTAAAAATAAACATGTTAAATTTATATAATTAAAATTTCAACGTAAAAAGAGTAATCCAAATAAATTATAAAATCTCTTTAATAAATGAGATTTCCATTGCTTATATTTCGCTGTTGACTCTCGACGGTTTACGAGCAAGTTAATGTTAATTAAATGCATACAAGTGGAATTCTGTTTAATATTTTTCGAGTTGAACCTTTGACCGGTCCTCACACGGCAATGCAACCCTCAGTTGTCGTCAATCCTTTGAGTGAATGCAATTTATTTTAATTGCGAGTGCAGGCGGCAGGACTCGACTCAAACGAACGTAAAGGAAAACAATTTCAAATGGCCGTAAAATTACGCCAAAAACGAATGGAATGAATGGAGAAAAAAATTATTTCTGCCTGTCCTGCACTTGTTTTCTAGGTCACGGGCTCATTAAAATTTGAGCACCGAAAACAGGCGAAATTCTTATGAACTCCGAATCTCTTTAACCCAAATATATGCCATTATAAATGCGAACGAGTTTAAGCTCTTTATGAGATATAGGTATTGTATATTCTTAAAACTATAATTAATATTATATTATAAAAATTATATATAAAAAAGTCACAAATATATATAATTTTTCTTTAACATTTGAAATGTAATGTTGATATGAAAAACCACCAAATGGATTATACATTAAAATTAGTATGAATCACTTATAAAAGACTCTATAAAACTAAATGTTTTTAAGTCAATTGGATTGAAATATTTTCCTTTTTTTATATATATTATTTTGAGCACATTTATCGAAGTCAGACTGTACATGAACTGCATAATACATTTTTGCAGGATGAGGAAATTCCAGGATAATCGCGTGCTCAACATAAAACGTCACTTGCAGCTGTCGCAGCAGGTAGGAAAATGATCTAGCGCCAGCTGCCTTGAAATCTGGAATTTCAGAGATTTCCTCGTAAACAGGAGCAGGTAGCCGAGTGTAATAGTATAAAAAGCAAAAACCACTGACCTCAGACAGCACTGCACTCTGGACACTCAAAGCGAACAGATCTTTCCGCAGCACTCAGATCTATCTCTCAGATACGTTTAGTAACTTCTAGAGAATCTATTCAATGGCCGAGATACTTTTTCCACAACTGGAGCGTCCTTTGCCTTCGCTACCATCGCTGCATTATACTCTATTCGCCTACAGGGAGGAATTGCGACGACGTGATGCTCCATTCATGAAGATGTCCACCATTAAACTTCATCTCACGGACAATCTGATTCTGCAGACGATCAAGAATATCCGGCAGTACGACACCATGGAGATCATGAATCTCAACCAGGAGATCAACTTCAAGCGACGGTTGACCAAACAGATGAGAAAGGTGCGCAAACTGGAGAAACTCGGCCTGAACATCGATCCCCGAAAACTCGAGACCGGCCAATGGCTCTAAACTTAGACTTTATGGAACCTTAAACTCTTTACTTAAATCCTTTCGTATATCATATAAACACCCAACTATTCTTACATACTCTGAGCATGTGAAATTAGATTGTAAGCAAAATTCCTCAAGTTTTTAAAACTCAATAAGCCGAACCAACTTTATAAGTCTATCAATTTTTTGAAGAAATAAAAATTAGAAACAAAAAAGTTTATGCATTTTTTATTGCTGAAGATCTTAATATGATTTAATTAAAAAATAAAAATATCAGTATTTTTTTAGTTAAGTAGTTCCAAATTATCTTTGAGAAAATTGCTAAAACAAATGCCCAACAATTTGATTTAATATTTATAACAGCAATTGGTTTAAGAGCAAATGGAAAATCTTATAGAAAAAGCTATATATTTATTTCATAAAGAATCAACCTTCAATTTATAAATTGAATTTATAAATTATCATTGAGAAAATTGCCAAAAAAAAAATGGGTATAAATTTAATTCAATATTTGTTAATAGCAACAATAGTTTTTAGAGTTAACTCAGAAAAACCTTCAGGAAATATAACCGCAGTTACCCAGTACTCGAAGATAAATCAAAGATCCCTTGATGATTGTACTCCCGGCAGGGTTTTTGAACTGACTCCAGAAATTTTCTACGACACCACGGAAAAAGGAATATTCTTTGTCAAGTTTTATGATCCCAATTGCATTGACTGCCATGATTTTGAGAGTATCTGGACTGACTTGGCACAATCATTCAAATCCAAGAGAAATATTTGTTTTGCCGAATTAAACTGTGTTTTCGCAAAAGTTTTGTGCAACGACTACGAATTACGCTACGAACCGAATTTAATATGGTTTGAAAACGGATACAAAGTTCGCCAATATGATGGTGATTTAACTTTCGATGATGTTCACAAATTTGTTATCCAAATGAATAGGTGGAATCAAACCTTAAGCTCGGGCTCTCAAAATATAAATTCTCACACTCCTTGGATTTTTGCTTTCATGAGAAATGTGATCATTAGCTTATGGTAAATGTCTTGGAAAATATTATATACAATACATAAATTTATGCATGTCAGGTATCTTATTTACCTGCAAGTTTAGTATTCTAGTGTGCCTCATTTAATTATTTTGGAGAACTTTTGTCAGCCAAATGCAAATTTTATGCAGGCTGCACACACTTGTGGGTGGTTAAAACTGAAGAAAACAAAAACAGAGCATTTGTTGGGTTCTGCGGAGGCCATAAAAAGTTTCGACAACGGCAGCTACAAGCCACATGAAAAATTTCTGGCAAAGCGTAAATTGTATTCCCAGCAGTAAGTTCTGCTTATACCCACTAGTCGTTAAGGAGGATTAGCAGCAAAACAAGTTTTGACAAATTTCTCATATGAAACTCAAGGATTGTTAGTAAACAATAGGTTTTTAGGGCAAATAAACTTTGCTCTTGAACAATAACATATTCGTAGTTCTTTAAGCTTTATACTTTTTATATCATTATTATTAGCATTTATTTTTCTAAAGTTTCCATCGGAAGTTTCACAAAATGATGTTTCATTTTCTTCTAAAATTTTATATTATTTCTTAAATATAAATATTAAATATAAAATAGAGTAAGAATTAACTAGTCGCAACACTTGACTATATCCTTTAATTTTCCTTACCCGGAAGAGAAGCTGTAAGCATGCAAATTTCTGCATGTTGTGTGGGTGTGTTTCAGTTATTTAGTGCGCCATTTAAAATTTCGCTCCTTGGTTGACGCGGTTGGTATCCTTTGCGGAGGGAAAGGATCTGAAAACGGAGGACGATGGTATGAGGTATGTTAACTTGCAAAACAATGCATTTGGTACTTTCAAGGGCCTTACTCGCAATATTTTGTATTTAATTAACTAGTTTAAAACATTCCGAAACAAAACTGTATAAAGACAAACATTTTTATTAATTTTTATAAAAAAAAATAATCTCACGCGAAAAAAAAGTGTCAGTTATTTGATATTACTAAAATTATTTTAACAAAAATTGGTTTAATATATTATTATTATTATATTTTAATAATTTTAAGTCTTTCAAAAAATGTCTTTTATTTTAAAAGCTTGATTATATTAGATTGTTCATATTAAAATAAAAACCTAATCTAAACGGACGTTCTATGGACTTCAAAAGCAAAAATCATACAAAAAACAAAACAAAAGCAGCACGTCTTTGTGTATTTTGATACTCTTGAGAGGAATTTTTCTTAGAAATTGCATTTCAAGTACCAGGAACGAAACAACAAATAAGTAACAAGGCAAGAAAGCGGAGGAATGCACTAAAAAATAGAAACGAGAGGCAGAGGCAAAGAAAATATTAATCCGAAGCAGCATCAAACAGAACAAAAAGTTTTTCGCCATCCGCAGAAGTTTTCCCCTTCGACGGAAAGTTTTTTATTTTTTGGCTCGAAACTTTTTCGGCTGCCACTCGAGCAAAATAGCTCAATGGCAGGAATGCAACTCTGTGCGAGTGTCAAAGTGCAGACGATGCTGACAGTCACCCACAGAAGTACACCTACACCCACACATGAGGCTGCATGTACTTTGAGGCACTGTGGTTCGTGAGGGTTAAGTACCGAGCAAAGTTTTGGCATCCGACTTGTGTTGTTGTTTACCTTAGAATAATAGAGGCAAAACAATAGTCAAATTCAGCAGGTTCTTAAGAAAAGTTTTTTGATGGTTTTTGATTGCTAAACAATTCTTAAATACTTTTTGCGTTTGGAAAAAAACTTTTTTTTGGGAGTATCTAGGGCTTTTTTAAAACATTAATTGTGAATTATGAATACTTTTAATTAGTTTGCTAATAAACAACAAATAAACTTTTTAAAAATCGTTTTTAGGGTTTTTTGTTTATAAATATTTACTTGTTCAAATTGATATAAAACCAAAAATTCCCAACAAACTTACTTCGTGTTTACCTGATCCAACAAACAGCTTTTCATCATGAACACACATATCAAATTCCGGCCACATACCATCCCGTTCCTCTTTGATGGCCATTTATTCCCAAACCACTGTACGAACCATCCACAAAATCGCAAAATATTTTGTCCTGCAGACAAAGGAATCCCGAGGAAAGGAGCAGATGAACCGGCAAGAAAAGGCCAAGCCAGAAATGAGCAAAAATTCCAGTCGATCCAAAGCGTATTCCGCTCCACTTTCCACTTTAGCCACCGAAAACCCAACTGAAATATGCACAAAAGAAACGGAATGAAGTGTAGCGAACTAGTCGTGACACAATTTCTTATGCAAATTGCACAAGTCATAGGGAAAATATCAAATATCCTGGCCAAATGAAAATGGTCCATTCATAAAGTTTCAGCGCCAATAACATTATCGGCTCGTAAAAGCGGTCACCAAAAAACTGAAAAATAAAAATGTAACACCCGTCGAAAATTACGTCTCGGGAAAATGGCCCACAAACACGTAAAATAGACCCTTGAACCATTTTGGCAACAGATAAATGAGGATCTTGGGACGGGGATGTAGTTCAAACTCAACTCGTAATATGTGTTGGCCAAAACGAGCATAAAACGAAGCCCGATACAATCCCAATTGAATCAATTGAATTGAATCGCCAGTCAAAGGTTTGAGTTTATCGATGTGCGGATGTGCGGCAAACAGAGAAAGAGGACGAAAATGTTTTCTTTTTTTTTTGTTTTCTCTGGTACCTAGCAATTGAAACAAATTTAGCATATCTTCGTTATTCTGGCGTTACAAGTAGAATACTTTTATATTAATGCGCCAGTCACAATAAATTAACAAATAATTAATGACTACATAAGTAAAGAACAATGCACTCAAACTTTTTAGAAATTCTTAAAAACATTCATAATATTTGCTTGCAGTTATTTTATCTTACTTGTTGACAGGTTTGTTTTTAAACTAATATTATTAAAAAAATACACGTCTTACCCAATCTTTTGCAATCATTTTTTTCGATTTCATAATTACCTGTTGGTCTTTTTTCGATTTTTATAAAATAATTAATTTAAAGTATTTCTGTTTTTTCTATTTTTTTATTTTTTGCAATTTTCTAAATTATAGGATGTTAAACCTCACATAACACTTTATTTGGCTACATTTTTGTACTTTTTTTTAAAGAGCAACCCTTTTTCTTCGCCAAACCCCCCAAAACATAGCTAAGAACATGGAGGAAAATAAAAGTAAATGGATGTCCTCAACTGTTTAAAAAAAGGGGCAGTAGCACGTGTGTGTCCCATTGAGTAGTTTCACCAATTTTAGTGGCTGCTGTTGCTTCAGCAATTTGTCCAATGATGCAATGCGGTAGCTTCAAATTTATGATTCGATATTGAATGACTGTAAAATTTCCAGGCCACTGCAAGCCGAACTCACTTCCTGTGAACTAGCCGAAGTATTTACAACTTCATTTGAATCGCATCCCAACTTTTGACTGCACATCCGCGGAACAGAACTTTACTGAGCTGAGAATTGGCGAAACTTTTTCAATCGAAAGCAAAGTGAAACAAGTCGCAAAGAAACTCTGGGGCTCAGTTAAAGCTGTGTCTTTCGGGTCTGTATCTAAGCGCTGTTCCATGGGAGTTGCCAACTCAACAGATTCCGATACCCACTTCCCCTCGAAAAGGTTGTCAAATTCGCATTACTTATTGATTTGTTGGCATTGTACGCTTAATGCGTTTGTCAGTCACATTTTTTCCGGATGCAGAGTACTTAACATATCTATGGCTTCATCTTGGTTCCTTCGTTTATGGTGAAGCAAGGAAATACATGAAAGTGATTAAGAAACATGAAAAATCACTCAGGATGGCACACATATGATATGGTGTGTTTTCTCTGTCTCTTTTTTCGTCATTAACATGAAACTTATGATTTCATTTTTATATTTATATCTGCAATTTATTGTTTATTAATTATCTCCTGAAATTACAACTTTTGGATGCAAATATAAACTAAATTTTAGAATAGGTATTTTCAATGTATATGTTTTTATAAATAGTTCTCAAAAATTTCATAATTATTGAAATATGATACTGATATGATACGCGCATACTTATTTCTTAGGAATTTTCTTTCTTATGTCAGAAAGTAAGAAATTAATTATTTACTATTCTTAATTGCTACGAATGTTTTTAATATTCTTTGCTTTCTACATACCTGGCACATATATCCCAAAAATTCTTTTAGCCCAAAATTTTGTGACTGCAGCTCTGTTAATTAATGAGAAATGTTTCATTTTCGAAATGTTTCAACTTTAAAATACTTTCTCTTGCATCCGTATCGGTATCAGCATGTGTAACTTTCCGGGCGAAACTAAAAAAGTGCAAGAGGTCATTTGTAGGCGCCCAATGGAAATGGAAATAGAGAAGGGTATGGGGGGATGTGGGTGCAAATCATGACGTACAACAAGTTGCCACAACTTTTCATTACAAAATCCAGTGGCAGCAGCAGCGGCAGTCTGTTCACATTATTGTGCCACGAGAAAAGCAGAAGGCGCCTGGGAAATGGAAAAGTAAAGGAGGAGCAGGTCCTGAAAGGAACAGGAGTCCTAGCTGATGGCCCGGAACGATGCTTTGATGCTTCTGGCCACACATACTATTAGTACTACAGCAAAGTAGAAATAGCTTCAGCCGAACACAGTTGAAAACTAATGAACTCCTCGTTCTGGTTTGCTGCTCACACAAAAATAAACAAACAAAAAAAACAGTAAAATAAATATGGAAAAATCATGAAAAACGTTGACAAAATGGCAAAAAGTTGGCACTTCTCCTCTAGTAGTGTCTCTGCATATTGCACCATAAATATTCCATGTAAATATGAGAAATATAAAATTAAATTCATGAGCAAAAGCTAAGTAGTGGAGGAAAATGGGCTTCCCAGTTTGCTTGTGCACTTTTTGAATGGCATAAAACATTTGGCATTAAGTGCTAGAAGTAAAGGTAAGTCATGTGAAATTACGTTGTTTACAGCCACTAGTTTCAGCTTTAATTAAAAAATGAAAAAGAAGGTAAGTTAAAATAATGGGTATAAATGTTTTGGAAAAAGTCCTTAAATGAAATTCGTTAGTGTAGGGTTTCTTTTTAATGAAATGGTTTTGT